GCGACATTCCCAGCTCTCACTTTTAATTTAGTCTGACGACGAACACGTGATAATTGTTCTAAAATTCACGAGTACAATTCGATTTTCCGAAGATCTTCTTTCTTTTCATCATATCATCTCGGAATGCAACTTACTTTACTTATCCACCTATAAGTAAGCATGGTGATGTATCAATACACACGTTCTCTTATCCAAAAACTAGTAATACAGTGATTCACACGTATATATCGAGGAGTCGTTACGGCTAATAAGGTTAACCCTAACGGCTGCGATCTTCCAGTCTCAGTTCCTTAGGATGACAGAAGTCACGGAAAACTCAGAGTGGTAGGAAGAGTATATTCTGTAAAGAGTGAATAGGGGAATAGGCAGTAGGAAATTGACTGTCAGACGACCGTACAGCCGCAAGCCAGCGGACGGCATTTGAAGGGATGTCTGCTCGACAGTCGTCACATAAGGTCCTGTTTGAGTCGGCCTGTGATTGGCTGTTCCAGAGGCCGGAAGCAGCAAGCGTTGCCAAAATGCACTTCGATTTGAGCTAGTAACGCCAAACGTTCACAAGTGCACTTCGTGTGGGGCTAGTCACTACACGTACTCTTCGTTCAGATTTCTGAAAGCTCGTAAACACAGGGGTATGTGCTCATCACATTTACGTGAGATATTGACGATCTGACAAGTGACATTGTGCTGACCATACTGGTGGTGGCGAAGCGAATCACGTGAGTGCTGTTGGAAAGATGTCTTAATATTCGGGGTTGTGAGCGTGTTGTATAGGGGGCGTCGCAGCAACTTAGCTACTCCTGGCACTTGGGACTCGATCACAACGGCAAATGAAGTTATGGGCAGACATTTTGACCTTTAGACCCTGTTCCGAATAGAAAAATAGTTTAAATATCAGTTTATAGGAAATTGCATTTTGCATAAGATGCTGGTATATTAGGTGGGTTGAGACTAACAGCCAGACAAAGGCACTTATACGGCACCTGCAGAGCAGCTGTCCGAGGGCTTTGAGTGAGGGTATGTCTGCACCGGCCTTGAATTTGATTGGCCTGTTTGTACAAGTGTGATTGGCCGAAAATCAGACTACTCTCGGTATGCGCGTGCAAGTATGTGCGAGAAGCACCGGGAGAGGGCCGTCTGAAGGGTTTAATGCGTGTCCTAGGGATATATGTGGGTGTGGATAGGGCCACATGTGATGACGGGGTACAGTTTTGTCGAGTATTTGCATGGAGGCGCATATGGACGAATGGGTCCGTGCGAGGACCGAATATGCTTTGACAGTTTAGACAAGACGGATGGGTGTGGCAAGTGGATATTGGGTTTCCTAGCACTTATACGCAGTTACAAGTGCTCGAGCGTGAGGAAAATGTGCGGCAACACTAAGGGCAGGATGAGGCTGTGATCCGTGAGCTGCTGAAAGTTGTGCGGTTAATATTTCTATGTGGGGGGGTAGAGGAATTATCTGGTGCAGGCGTAAGTTTTTCGTGATCACGTTAAGGTGGAACCGGCATATGACCGCGTTTACCCCCGGAGCGTCTGAATGTCCTGGAGCATTGTAAAGACTTGAGAAGTGCGCTACTTGCATATGTCGTCGCTGCAGTGCTGGTTCGTCAGTCTCTGCACAACCGAGTTTCAAGTGACCGACGAGGCCTATGCGTGACAAAAACGTGTGGGTGCCACGGTGGCCGGTTGGAATTTCGTCAACAGTGTTGGTGGTGAGAATGCTTTTAAGTTTGGTAAGAGTGTCCTCATTGGCGTTGCTAATAATGGCGTGTTGCGAAATAAGAGGCTGGGTTGGTCGTGGTGACAATGCACTAGGTCCACAGATGTCCATTGAGGCTTATCCGTACCTAGCAGGGGTTGAGTGCTAGCGTCATTGGTTCGTAGCACTTGAGTCTTCCGGATCTCTTTCTATTTGCCTTGACAGTGATTATTCGACTAGTTCAGGACATGCTTACTGCCGTCCCAACGACAGTATGCCATGTATGTCGATTTTGAGTGAGGTCCTCCGAGGTTCCTGGATTGATTTACACTATCTTGAGTAAGACATTCAAGGTGCAATGATTGCGGCACTTCTGTCAGCGACAGCCGAAGAATAGTCGCTTAAGCAAACTTTCGCTCTCAATCCTCACCAGTGTCGTCTGCCTCCGCCTGGTGGAACTGCCGAGGATACCGGTTTTTATGAGATCTCAGTGTCTGAGATCCTTCCTTGCCACTTCGACTTCAGTATTTCTTCGCGCGTATCTGAGGCGAAAATGGTCGAGTCTTCTTGACTTGCCTTCATAAGCAGTCAGCGTCTTCGCTCAGCAGAAGAGTGGTGTCAGGACAACAATCCCGAGCAGCCTCACTTTTGTGTTTAGTAGGAGACCGCGACGGTTCCGGTGGAGCATTTTGGTCAGCTGAACCTTTCATTAACTTTGAAGATTCCACTTGTGATTCCGTCGTCAATCTTGATTTTCCTTAAAATTGAATTCTCCATTGTTGTGATGTTCGACTGACATTAGTACCGGGTTAGCTGTAGTCAGCATTGGGCGCCGGTGGGCGCAGAAACACTGCTTTCTTCGTGCTAGTGGCCAGGCCAAAGTTGGAGCAGCCGAGGGCGATAAGGCCAGCACTCCGTTGCACGTCCTCTTCCTTTTATCGCGTAGTTAATCACAGTCATAAACGCTGGCCTTGGGTACCCTCGAAGATCCCTTCAGGCGACAGGAGTTGAGCGCTTTGCCATCGGTTAGGTAGTTGATGTTGGGCTCTGGTCGTTTTGCATTGTAAGCGTCCACCGGCATGGTGGGAGCGAGTTCAGAGTCTAATATCACTCCATGTTCATTGCGAACGCTTCACAGATTGAGCCGTTGTTCGTGGCGCCGTTTCGAAAGCAGGCCAATTTGGCCTAGATTTGACTACTTTTCCAAGGACATTTATCCACGATGTCTATAATTGCAGTCATTGGCGAGTATGGATCACTTTTGATTTCCCGGTGTTGTGAGTTTGTGCGAAAAAGTTTACTTCTTTTGAATGGAGGACGTTTTTTGCTGAAAATTTTGAAATGATATTTCCAAAATAAAGCGTATCTCTCTCTCTCTCGTTCTCTCTACCCACTCTCACGGTCGTTAACACCACTGCTAACCCTCGTCGCCTTTTGTCCGCTTACCAAGCGTTACAACCACTGCGTAAACCCGTGACTAAATCAGCGGCTTTCGACGTTGATTGATTTTCTCTCCTCACCGATTGACCCCAGACGGATGATCATGTGCGTACACTGCAGGTGACAATTGCCTCGTGAGAACGCTGGCTGCGACTGCTTGCGATTAAGCGTGTGAACTCTCGGCCTCAGAAAAGGCCTGTCCTTCTTTTACTGTTTTGTGTTCAGGCGATTGAATAAATACGAGTGAAAGGGTTTCTCGCAAGGTTGGGAGTTGAAAGGCTTTTTGCAGTTAGCACATATTTGCCGGTTCGCATTGGGTTTGTTTACCTGCTCATTTGTGGTATCTTTGACGTTTTGGCGGATAAGTCCTTGTACCTATACAGTGATAGCGATAAAAGCTATTCCATGAGCTGGAGGTCAGCCTACTTATCGCAGTGGGATTAGATTAACAGGAAAGACCTTTATCGTTGCGATCTTGAGGCCGGTGCCGTATGGGAAGAGAACAATTGGGATGCCAGGTGGGAGGAAGGGTATACTCTGTATGAAGCTGGTGGAGAATAAGTTAGAGGAAATTGGCAGCCAGACGAACGTGCGTCCACAGTAGCGAGGGCCGGTGTCCGAAGCGTCAGAGTTAGCCGCAGGGAGATGATTGTCTGGACCGGATTGGGTTCGGCAGATACCCGGCGCGCACGTGCTAACAATTGCGAGAAGCGAGAGGTTGAACGTTGCATGTGGAGTTGGGTTATCGCAGGGGGTTAAGTGAATTAAACTCAGCAACCGCGATCTTCAGACCATGGTTACTTAGTAGAGGAGGAGTCGTTAAAGGCCAGAGGGGTACGAAGAGTATATTGTGTACACAAGGAACGAAGAATAGATGGAAGAAGTCTGTCTTGGGAGAGCACGTCCGCTCAGGAGATTGACCGGGCCCTAACTGACTGTTTTAGAGCAGTCAGGCCAGTAGACAGAGAGAGAGTGCGTTCGTTGGCTAGGTCGGCCTGTGATTGGTTGGACAGCGTGTGGGTGGTCCA